GGCCAAGTGCTCTCCTGGGAAGAGGAATGGCGGGACCCAGATCGAAGAGGGGAGAGGCTGTGTCAGAACAGGAGGGGGCGGAGACTTCTGGAGACTGGGAGCAGGTAGTAAAGGTGGTCCCCAGCCCTGCGGACGGTCTCAGTTTTATCACGTAACAAATGGGGATAAGTCTATTGGTCACTGCTCTGGCTGCCTGCTGCTGGCAAGGAAGGGATTTTTGGAGATGGTGACTCTCAAAGGTGTCTTGAGGGACTGAGGACCATATTAGAATAATTATTATTAGGAGGAACCAGAACTCTCAGCCCCCCCCCACCAGCCTTGAGCAAAGAGAATGGGGTGTCTTTGGTGGGGATGGCTGGGGGCACGGATCCGCCTCCCTTTCCTGATGATGAGGAGACACCTCCTACCTGTGATGGGATCCTGGCATGGCACCGAGTTCCTGTGTTCCGGCTTTAGCCACTTTCCATCTGCATAGTGACCCAAGCACCGGTCCTGGGTGTCCAGCCAGGCCTGGGTGGGAGGAGGGTGGACACAGTTTGGAACGGGGTCTGGGAAGCAGCTGGGGGAACCCGATCCCCACCCAGTGTCCTCTGGGAGGGAAACACCTGCTCCCCTTGGCCCCATCCAGCTAATTCTTTCCTGTGTAGGTGGAAATACATGGAAACATAAGGGACATGTGACAGAAATTCACCATTTTAAAGTGTACAATTCAGTGGCACTTAGTACATTCATAGTGTCGTATAATCATCACCTCTGATTCCAGAATATTTCATCACCCCAAAAGATAACTCTGTAGCTATTAAGGCGGTCCTTCTCCCTCCCCCAGTACCCCCAACCCCTGGTAAGTACTAATCTGCTTTTTATTTATTTATTTTTAGAGAGAGGGGAAGGGAGGAAGAGAGGGAGAGAAACACCAATGTGTGGTTGCCTCTCCTGCGCCCCCTACTGGGGACCTGGCCTGCAACCCAGGCCTGTGCTCTGACTGGGAATCGAACCAGCGACCCTTTGGTTCCAATGCCAGTGCTCAGTCCCCTGAGCCCCACCAGCCAGGGCCTAATCTGCTTTCTGTCTGCCTGGATTTGCCCATTCTGGGCATTTCGCAGAAGTGGGATCCTACATCATGTGGCTTTTCGTGGCTGGCTTCTTTCACTTGGCATGGCATTTTGGAGGTTCATGGGTGTTGCAGCCTGTTTCAACGTCTTTTTATGGCTGTCTCATATTCATAATCCTCACAGACCACGTTTTGTTTACCCATTCGTCAGCTGATGCGTACTTGGGGTGGCTTCCGCTTTTTGGCCACCGGGAACTGTGCTGGGAGAAATGCTCATGTACAAGTTTTGGTTCGTGGCCCAGCGACCCTTGCCAGAGCCCTGGAAGCAAGCCCCATGAGACCGTGTGGCTTCTGAGCCAGGTGGTGGCCGCACCCCCCTGTGGAATGGTGTTCCCTCCCATCAGCTGTCATCACTTGGGGACTGGGTGTGGACCCTCACGGAACACTGACGGGCAGTGTATTAGGTGGTGACATGTCTAATCGAGCTCAAGGCATCACACATGGGCTTTGCAGAGGGCAGCCTGGTGAGGGGACCCTGGAGCGAGGGGCCATATAGCCAGGGTTCGAGTCCTGCCTCTGGGACTTACTCATTGTGGAACCTAAGTGGGTCTTATAATACCCTGGCCTCTGCTAAGCCACCTCGGAGTTGGGGATGACAGTTCCCCCTGCTTCACAAAGCTGTGGTGAGGATTAAATGTATTACATGTATTCTATGGTCAGAGCAGCACTAGTTAAGACTTCCTATTAATGTTTTAATGTGTTTTAAGGTTTTGTTTACTTATTTTTACAGAGGGGAAGGGAAGGAGAAAGAGAGTGAGGGAAACACCAGCCGGGGCTGACTTTCTATTAATTTTATTTCATCTCTCCCTCCCCACGGGCTTCATGTTTCTCTCTGTCCCTGGTCCTGTCTTCTCCAAATCCTTGCTAAATCTAAGCCACACTTCCCACTTTTTCCATCTTCAAACTTTTCTCTTGGCATCCCCGATGCATGTCAGTCTTGTGATTTTTCTCTTCCTCTGCCAACTGGCCCTTCTCCTTATTTTGCGTTAAAGTCAGATGATCCAAGTCAAGTTCCTAATTCAAACCCCGCCCCGCTGGGGGAAACAGTTTGAAACAGTTGGGTGTGTTTGAACCTGAGCTGGGCTATTGACATCAATGAATATTTTAGCCCTGGCTGCTGTGGCTCAGTGAACTGAGTGAGTGCTGTCCTTCGAACCAAATGTTGGTCTGTTCTATTCCCAGTCAAGGCACAGGCCTGGGTTGCTGGCCAGGTCCCCAGTAGGGGGCGCAGGAGAGGCAACTACACACTGATGTTTCCCTCCCTGTCTTTCTCCCTCCCTTCCCCTCTCTCTAAAAATAAATAAAGAATTTTTTTAAAAATCAACTAATTAACTGATATTAAAGAATGACTGGTAAGGGTAAGCCTGCCAATGACATGGAGGTTATTTCCATAATGTGTCCTTCTGTGTTAGAAATGAGGAATCAAATGTTTATGGGAAAATAACATGGCGCCTGGGATAGAAATCACTCCAGAAAAAGAGAACAGGAAGGGGTACAACACTGGACCAAACGTCAGTGATGGCAGAAGCCGAGGGATGGGTACAGAGAAGTTCATAGAGTGTTTGATCGAATTTGGCAACGTTTTCCCCCAAAAGAAAACAAAACCCTGAATGAGCGCCCACAGGGTCCCGGCAGACCACGCTGGTGTGGGCGAGGGCCTGGCGGAGACTGGGAAGCCACAACCCGTCCAACACTGACCGTCCCTAATGGATCCAGATGATTTTTGTCAGGGGACTTGGGTCAAAGGTTGCCAAGTGTGGGGATTTTGTTTTCAACAGAAGCTGGAATCCCGGATGTTTACATGGAATTTGCTGTCCATTAATTCACATTTTTACAAATCAAGTTTGGGCCAAAGAAAACATGTTTGTTGTCCGACTCTGGGCAACGGCCTGTAAGTTTGAGACATTTGCTTGGGGAGAGGTGGGGGTACCACATGCTCTGGAATCTGAGGGCTTGGGTTCAAATCTTGGCTTCCTCTTTTGAGCGGTCGACCACGGTCGAATTACCTCTTCAAGCCTCTGTGTGTCATCACTAAAATAATGACAGTCAGTCCCTTTCACGGTGGTTCTAGGGGGGACTCAGTGCAATTATGATGAACACAGACCGTGGCACATAGAAAGCAGCCAATAAATAGCCCTGGCTGGTGTGGCTCAACGGATGGAGACCCCGGCCAGTGAACTAAAGGGTCACCCCGTTTAATTCCCAGTCAGGGCACATGCCTGGGTTGTGGGCCAGGTCCCCACTAGGGGGCGTAAGAGAGGCAAGCACACATTTATTCTTCTCTCCCTTCACCTCTAAAACTAAATAAATAAAATCTTCACTTAAAAATAAAGCAGCCAATAAATACAAGCCACTACCACATTACTATTTCATGATATTCCACTTCTAACCTCCAAGTGTGGGAATTCTCTGTACTTTGCCCCAGTTCCTTTGATCGGAGTTTCACTATTTCTCTAGATAATCTTGTCACTCTCAGGGTTCATTTGTCTTTCTACGTTGGTCCTGTCCCCGTCTCCAGACCTGAGGCTCACAGCAGTGTCTGACTGCTGCACCTGGCTCCTGCCTGTCCCCAGGTCCCTCGCACCCTCAATATGTGACCACTCAGCTCAGCATCTTTCCCCAAAAGCCGGCTCCTCCAGGGTTTACCCTGGAGGAGTAGAGAGGGAACCGACACCCAGGCACAGGACCAGACTCCGAAGAGCATTGTCCCTGCCCTCTCTATTCCCCAAACCCTGTTCTTCCTGCGCCCTTGCCTTGTCCCCTCCTCTCCATCCCCACAGCTGCCGCAGACTCTAGTCTCATCTTCCATTCAGGCTACTAGGCTCCTCCTCTCTCCCTCAAGGGAAGCCCAAACTTCTCAGCTTGGGTGCTAGAGGACCCTGCGAGCTGACCACAGCCTCATGGGGGGATCGAGGGACCTGAGTAATTACACAAAATTCGAGGCACCTTACTCATCTATGGGAACCCCCCAAACGTTGTGGAAGACCCTGAGGGATCACAGGGGTCCTGGGGAATTTCTGAACACCGTGGTTCACGGAGCATCATCAGGATTTTAAGAGGGCCTGAGGATTATGGGGGCCCCACGGGCCATTCTGAGAGGCGTGAGGGGGTTCAGGAGAGTACTCTGAGGGGCTGTGTAAATTCAGATGTATTCTGGGGTTCTGGGTATTCTCGAGATCAAAAACGCCCCACAAGTAGAGGGGACCTTAAGAAATCACGGGGACTCCACGGAGGTTCCGGGAGAGTAAAGGAGCCCCACGAGAATTCCGGGGATTGCCCCGGAGCACCAAGGCAGGCGTAGGGTGTTCTGAGGAATCATGGGAAGTCTATGGGGGTTCGGAGGCTCGTTGGAAGATCATGGGAACCCCACGGGAATTCTGAGTCTCGGGGAACCACGAGAAGTTCTGAAAAAGTTCTGTAGAATCATTGGAACTCCGCGGTGGGGGTTGTATGAGGAATCGGGGGAACACCGCCGGGAGCTCGGGCCGTGCACGTGCAGCACGAGAACTACTAAACACCAGGAGAAGAGACTAAAAAAGGTGAATGAGCAGCAATCGCAAATACTTAAATGATCGCTCTCCGGGAGTGGATTCCAAAGGATGGAGGAAATGTGGGAGCCGAAGGGGGCGGAGTCGCTTAGCTGCCGCGGTGGGTCACGGGAGTCCGCGCGCAAAACGGGGCGGGCATACAGGCGAGGGGGATGGGTAGCGCCGGCCAGGTAGGCCCTCACCAGCACGCATGCGTGGCTCTCCGGCACCGGTCCGTACTCCAGCGTGGTGAAGATCTCGCCCGCGCGGGACTCTGCGCGCGTGGCAGCCATCACCCGTCCAGATCCCTCTCCACCGTCTGCTGGGCGCTCTGCCCAAGGAAACCTGACGTCCAAAGGGTAGAACCGCCCTCTCCAGCGCAAAGGGCGGGCTGCAGGAGATAGAGCGTAACGCAACCTAAGGACCCGACGACCCCGCCCACGGACCAACGTTGGCGAAAACTTAGTTTGGAGCATGCGCAGTCCTCAAAGCGGGGCGGGTGGGCTGGGGACGCGAGAGAAAATGGGGGTCCCTTGCAAATAGTTAGAATTCCAGATTTAGAAGGGTGGCGGTACTTGAGTGTCTTCCTACTACCCCCTTCACAAAAGTGCAGGTTCTGGTGCGAAATTTATTTACTAGAGAATCGAATCTAGCTCTGAGACGAAGCGATATTTCAGAGATCAGAAAGGAACCTTTTAGGGTGGACACTGCAGTTTAGTTTTTCCGTAACGTCCAGCTTTGACTGTCCCGTGACCCGGCCAGCTATTGTTGGGAAGGAAGGGTAGTGTGACTTTAATCGAGAGCGGAAGTGTGGCACTGAGCACTGTCTCAGGACTTAATTTTGATTGGTTGAGGCGAAAGGCATGGCCTCATGCTTAGACTATGATTGGTCCGTGGCAGAATACGGTGCTGGTTAACGAATGAGCGTTGGGATAGTCGGAAACGTGCCTGCTCGAATTTCTGGTTACTCAGAAACTTGGAAGGGTGGCTGTCATTTACACGTTTGGCATGTAGGACCTACAGAACATCTAGAGATATTGATTCCCAACAGATTTGACGGCGGTATCCGAACTGAGTATTGTTATCTCTGGCCAGGTTCTTAGATTTTTGTATAGAATAGCGGGTGTCCGAGTCTGTTGAGGGCTCGGGAAGCAGGCCCCTGAGTTCAGTTCCCAGCAAAATTCCCCCACGTAGGGGTTGCTAGAGACGCTTAGGTCTCTTCCTCAGGGCCATGGTGGACTCGAAACTGCTGGTGCCGGAGCTAAACGAGGCAGAGGTAATGGGTGCCGAGACGGCGCGTTTCGAGGAGCTGCTGCTGCAGGTGCGGACTGATCAGGGCTACTGTGTCCCTGGGTATTTGGGGGAGTTCCCGCCCCCCCCCCCAGAGATGGGATTACAGTTCCCAGAATGCACTAGAGAGGCAACAGAGCCCACGGGAATTGTAGTTGGTTAACTCCAGCTTTACTAGTTTCTGGAATAAATGGGAGTGGGATTGGGGTTGTCCTTTGGGTTGCTCCAAGGAGGAAGGGGATAGAGTGTGTCTTATTCCCTGCATGGTTCATACCCATAAACATCGCTCAATAAACACTGAAGGAACAAATGAGGGGTCTGCAAGCACAGACGCCAAGCCTGGAAGTCGTTTCCCTTCCCACAGGCCTCCAAGGAACTCCAGCAAGCCCAGACGAGCAGACCAGAATCAACACAGATCCAACCGCAACCTGGTGAGAAAGGCGAAAACCCAAGGGGAGTGAGAGAGATTTTGCAGGGAGAGGTGGAGAGAGACTGGGGGCAGGGGATGCAGAGGGGAGGGAGGAAAGAGACGCAATGGCAGAGTTTAGAGATCTGGGTAGGGAAGTGAATAGAGACCCAGAGGGGGACCCAAAGAGGGGAGGAGGGGGAAAGAGACTCCCAGATAGGAAGAGAGAGGTCCCAGGGGTGGGGAGAGGAACGGAACCAGAATGTGGAGGACCGAGACTCAGAGAGGGGGACTGATGAAAAGAGGGCACACTGAGGAGATGCTGGACGGAAATCAAGAGCAACCATTCCCACCAGGCTTCTGCATAAAGACCAAGTCATCCCAAGGGAAGGTTTTCATCAACATCTGTCACTCTCCTTCCATCCCTCCTCCGGCCGATGTGACGGAGGATGAGCTATTGCAAATGCTGGAGGAGGACCAAGCCGGGTTTCGCATCCCCATGAGTCTGGGAGAGCCGCATGCCGAACTGGATGCAAGTCAGTGCCCTCCGAGGACTCAGGACTCCAGCCCCTGGCACCTTTCTTCCTAGGATCCCAGATCCCAGGGCCCTCCTCCTGCAGGACCTGGCAATGTGGACCCCCCACCCCCACCCCCCATCAGATCCTTTCCCTGTGGCATGTCACTAGCCTGCTGGGCCTCCAGCACCGGTTGCCTGGAGCAGCCCCAGTTCTGCCCACCTGGCCAGACTGGCACTTCTCTTTGCCCCACGCCAGGGCGAGGGAAGGCTGGGCAGGTGCTTCGTTAGCCCATCTTCCCGCTCTGGCCCCAGCAGGCTGTCACCCTCATCTCTGTTTTCTCCTTCACCCTCTCCCCTGTGTGCCTCTGTTGCATTTCTGTCTCTCCATCCTTGTGTTTTCCATCCGCCTATGTCCCCTGATGCCTCCTGGGACCCAGCCCTCAGGGGTCGGGAATTATGAAACCCAGAGCCTGCTATTCCAATACCATGTGAGTCTTTTTGCCCTGGCGGGGTCTCTGTGCCCACACTGAGCAGTCAGGAAGGGCTTCCTGGAGGAGGAGATGTTGGGCAGAAGACGAGAAGGAACCGTAGGAGTTCCTCAGGCCAAGACAGGGAAGAGGGTCCTGGGCAGAAGGGACAGAGAGATCCAGAGGCCAGAAAGAATAATTCAACTGGGATTGGTCAGTCATTGAGAGACATGGAAGAAATTGCCAGGAGGAGGCAGTCACACAAGCAAGCTTCTTTTGCTCCAGGTGGGAGGTGCAGACCACTCCGGGCCTCCAGTACCAAGAGGGAATACTCTGACCTTCATATGGGGGCGCTGGGGAGCCGAGGGAGGGCTGTGAGCAGGGGAGAGGCAGGGCCAGCGCTGGGGCACCGTGGGGAAGGACCAGAGGGGAAAAGACTGGAGGCCTGATGAGTCCAGACTGGCAAGTGTGCGTTGAGTCCTCCTTTCCTAATCATCTCTGGGTCTCTCTGATTCTTGTGGCTGCTATTCTTTTTTGCACGGGTGGCAAACACCAGGCCCGGGGGCCGCATAGGCCCTCCACCTTATTTTATGCACCCGGCACCCTGTTTCTACCCGGTGGCCGCACTGAGCTCTCGCGTAACTATTGAGGAGTACTTAACATTTATACAGTCCTAAATTTACATTCAGCCCTTTGAAGGCAACCTGAAGGCTCATGCTGCCCCCACCCCGGGCTCCCCACTCTGTGAAAATAAGCTTGACACCCCTGCTTTATTGTTTCTTCCTTGTCTGTGTTTGGGCGGTGGGGTTGCCCCGGAGGGCTGGTGGGGCCTCACCCACTCTCTCTCCCTGCAGAAGGCCAGGGCTGTACCGCCTACGACATAGCTGTCAACAGCGACTTCTACCGGAGAATGCAGGTTGGGGGCGTGGCTACGGGTGAAGCCAGGGCTAGGGCCTCTCTCCCTTTATCCCTGCAGCCGTCCTGCATCCCCGCTTGCCCCCTCTCTCCTAGAACAGCGAATTCCTGAGAGAACTCTTGATCACCATCGCCAGGGAGGGCCTGGAGGACAAATACAGCCTGCAGCTGGATCCAGGTGAGGGGCGGGGCCGAGCCTGAGGCAGTTTGGAGGCTGCCCTTGGTAGATGTGGGCTATTTTCTTAGCTTCTGGGCTGCAGAAGACAGGGAGAGGGCGAGGCTTCCCCTACATAAGCTGAGGAGGCGGGTAGTGGGGTGGGCAGGCGGGTCCAGGTCCGGGATTCCAGCTGAGGGGCGGGGTCTAACTGCGTAGGAGCAGTGGAGTCAGGAGCATTCCTCCGGGATCAGATTTCTTGGGGGAATACCCGTGGGAAGGGCCTGGGGGGGTTAAGGTGGGCGGGCTTCCCAAAGCCAAGCAGAGGGGTGTGGTCAGACCCCTTGCCACCTCCACCCCTCCGGGGAAGCTCTTGCTGTGCAAGGTCCCCCCACCCTCCCCCCTTCAGCAAAGGGAACCCTGACCCAGGTGACCTTTGAGCGGGCCCTCCCTCACCGCAGAGTGGCGCTTGTTGAAGAACCGGGCTTTCTTGGGCTCCATCTCCCAGCAAAACATCCGCTCCCAGCAACGGCCTCGGATCCAGGAGCTGGGAAACCTGTACACCGCCGACTCCTTGAGACCTAAGGACGGGTGGGCTTTGCATGCTCTTTGCAATCCTTCTCTCCCCACATGCAGCCGTGTCCCCGGGCTCTGGGAACCCCCAGAAGGGAGGAGCTGGACTCCCAATGGGCAAAAGGGCTGGGACACCAGACCGGAAGGGGACCACGTGCCAGGAGGAGAGAACAGCCCAGAAAAGACCTGGAGGCTCGTCTCACCTCTGCCTCTTGTTTCTCACCCCCCCCCCCCACACGACCCAGTCCTGAGAGGCCTCACCTGAACCTTTGGCTGGAAGCCCCTGACCTCCTCTTGGCGGAAATCGACCTTCCCAAACTGGTGAGTGTGCGCTCGACCACAGCTGGAGAATGAGCTGGCGGTGCTCCAGGGAAGGGGTGCAGGCTTGCTGCCAGGCCTGCCTGAGCCTGGTTAGTGCCACTCTGTGAGTGTGGCTGCCTCCTGTTCCCCCCGGGCGCAGAGGCCCACTTCCGCTGCTGACCGGAAGCCGCCCAGGGCCGTGAGTGATCGCAGGTGGAGAACAGTGATTAGCATATGATTAGCATACCCCGCCTTATATCCCTTTAACTGTGGTATCCCAGCGGTTGCGTCTTCTCTCCCTGGTGCGTGTTCTCATCATCTCACCTTCTGTGGCCGAGGAGGGAAGCGTGGGCTGACTCCACTGTATCCCCAGGATGGAGCTCTAGGCCTGTCGCTGGAGATCGGGGAGAACCGCCTGGTGATGAGAGACCCCCAGCAGCTGTACCATCTAGATGCCTACATCCCCCTGCGGATCAGCTCTGATGAGAGCAAGGCGGCCTTCCATCGGAAGAGAAGGGTACCTGGGTGGGGTGGATGATGGTGCAGAGAAGCAGCCTTATTGGGGGCCTGGACTTCTGGGTCTGGTGGTCTGGTGGGGGAGGGGCCGGGGGATGGGCTCCTGGGTCCTGAATCCTCTCCCTTTCCTCTCCTCAGCAACTGATGGTGGCCATGCCCCTTCTCTCCGTGCCTTCTTGACCTGCTGGCTCCCTGTGTTTCCAAGAGAGGAGAAGATGGTGGTAGCTTCTATAAAATCGATATAAAAGATTTTTGGCCCTGGCTGCTGTGGCTCAGTGGATTGAGTGCCAGCCTGTAAACTGAAAGATCAAGGGTTCGATTCCCAGTCATGTCACATGCCTGGGTTGCGGGCCAGGTCCCTGTTGGTGTGCAAGAGGCAACCACACACTGATGTTTCTCTCCCTCTCTTCCTCCCTCCTCCTCCCTCTAAAAATAAATAAATAAACTCTTTAAAAAAAAGATGATTGTCTTTGTTCTGTGTCTGGCTAGGAATACATGGGGAGTGGGAGAGAGGAGGGACATTGGACTGTAGTCTTGGCATCCCAAAGGGGTCACGGCCGTCACTTAGACCTCATCCTCTCCCCTGACTCCCAGCCTCCAGTCTCCCACACGGCCCCAGGGCTGACCCTGCCTTTCTCCCATTCCCAGTCCCTCCCCGGCTCCCATCGTCCCAAGGGGAAGGTCCGAGCCCCTCAGCCTGGCACTCCAGGCTCCATGCGGCTGACCTCTGTGCCTTGGTTTGGCCTCTTCCTCCCCCTCGCTGTCTACTCACACTGAGGAGTGTCCTGACCGCCCCGTTTCGTTTCCTGCACCTTCTTAGTTTCTGCTGTTCCCTCTACTTGGCACCTTCATGCCATTATACCCGGGAGCTTTCGGATTGTCACCCTCACAGAGGTTCCCAAAGCCCTCTGGGCACCCGACCCACACCACAACGCCATCATGTCACCACACTGTCATCTCCACCCTGTCCTACCCCTCATCCTGACCAGCTGCCCATTGTTGGAATTGTGCTTCATGTCACGGTCATTGCTTCCCACTTTCCGATCCTGAGAGTATGGCTTCCCCCGAGGTGGCGGCTACTCTCCTCACCACCTTCCTTACCTGCTTCATCCAGTCTCCCTTTTTGAGCTTTCCTCGGTCAGTTGCCTCTCTTACGTGCTCCCAACAGTGGCCCGAAACCCACAACCCATGCATGTGCCCTAACCGGGAATCGAACCGGCAACGTTTAGCTCTTTGGGAAGATGCCCAACGAACCCAGCCACATGGCCTTGAAAAGCTTTTTAACCTTCAAGTGTTCTCTGATTTACTCTGGCCGCGTTAGAATCTTCTCCCGGGAGTCCCCAATACCCAGTTTTACTCTTAAAGCTATGTCCCCTATGGTGTGACAACGCCGTCCTAGTCAGAACTCAAATATTTGTTGAATTAATGATTACCAACATCCTCTGCTTTTCCCATAGTCCAAGGTGCATAAGTAAATGGAGAAGACTCAGTGGTAAATTGGAAGAGCAGCAAGGAGGCCAGTATGACTGGAACGGAGTTGAATTGGGTGGGTAGAGAGGGACTAGACTAGTCACTACACGATAACATGGGAAAAGGTGGGGATGACAAAGAGTAGGGTCTGTGGACATCTGAAGGAGAGAACTTGAGCACCGTGTCCACCAGAGGGCGCAACGCAGCCTCCGTACATAGTCTCAGAACTACAACTCCCAGCGACCCACCGACCACGCGGCCTCCCGTAGCGAACAGTGAGGTCCAGCGGCCGCTGGGACTTGTAGTTCTTATAGGGATCCTTCTTGAGACTGAGGAACTCATTCTTAGGTCCTGAAAAGTGTGGGGCTGGGTCCTTTCTGCCTTCCTCGGTCTCCATGGTGATGGTTCCGGCAAAGGCACGGGATTTGGCAGCGGCCGGGCCCTCTTCCCACTCCCTCCTCTTCACCATCTGCTCCACCTTCACACCTGGCCCCGAGCCGCGGCCACCGCCTCCACATCAAAGCGCAGGATTCCGCTGCCACAGGGTGGCGCGTGTGGACGGCTCTGCGGGATGCTCCCGGCTCAGACCCGGTAGTCCGAGCCCCAGCTGCCTCGTCCGTCAGCCGCAGGAGTCCAGCCTCCAACACCTCCCCCCTCCCGGGGTTTTCTCAAACTCAGACAAAATGTTGAGACCCAGAGACCCATCGAGAGGCTGCAGCGGGGGAAGCGGCTGCCAGACTACTTGGCCAGTGGCACCAGTCCGCCTAGCCGGCTGCTGCCCCCGCCCCCTGGCGGGCCTGTGCCACATCATGAAATTTTAATCCCAAATGCATTTGCGGCCCGACGCAGAGAGGCGGTGGTGCAAGGAGCACCCTCCTGGGGCCTGGATCTGGAAGGAGGTGGACTCACTGTCTAGGAGAGGGGCTGGTCAGGAGGAAGGAGCCGGGCAGACAGAGGAAAAGTCCGGGTTCAACCCTTAGAGGGGCGGGGCTGGGATTCATGGGCGGAGTAAACATTGAGGGGCGGGGACAGGTCTCAGTGGATGGGAGTAGAACTCGGGGTAAGACAACTCAGGGGGTGGAGAAGGAGCTGGGAGAATGGACAGATCTCAGGGAGGCGACGAAGCTGTTTGGGTCGAAACTGGCGACGGAGGGGAGCAGTATAAGTGTCGGGGATGAAACTCCGTGGGGAAAGAAATTGGGGGTCAAGGAACTGAAAGGGGGTTGTGCCCAAAGGGGAAACCAGGGGAATGGAATTAAAAAAGGGGAAAGGCGGGAACAAGTAGATGGAGATCATAGGGGAAGAACCTGGATGGGGGAAGAGCTAGAGGGGACAGTGAATGAATGGAAATGGGGGAAGAATTCCTGAATAAGAAAAGAACCTTCTGAATGAGAAAGTTGGAGCTGGGACTGATGACGCGGGATGGGGATGGAGTTCGGGGACCGGACGTGGAACTGGAGGGCGCAGAAATTAGGAGCGACAAGACGGAGAGGACGAAACGCAGAAGGAGACTCAGAGCAAGATGAAAATGCGGGAAATAAATGAAAGGAACTGAAACGTGGTGGGGGGACAAGTCTCAGATGGGGAAGAGAAAAATCTGGAATAGAAGGAGCTGGGGGAGAATAGAATGAAGGAGACTAGCCCCGGGGAACGGACAGAATCGGGGCGCTGCGCCCCAGGAGTAAATGCAGAACTCAGAGGTGTGGTCTAGAAAGGAAAGGATGGGGGACAGAGCGTGATGCGAGGAGCGCCCGAGCAGAGCCAGACTATACTGCCAGGGGCGTGGTCTAGCGGGGTGGGCGGGGCTTCTCTCAGCCCCGCCCCCGACGCTGAGTTCGGTGACAGCCCCCAGGCAGCCCTCACTCGCAGCCTCCTTCCCCCCCGAGCGGAGCTGCGGGGCCGGCCGGCCCGGGGCGGACCCCGGGAACCCGGACGCGGCCGCCCGGGCCCGCGGGCGGGGGGATCCCTGCGCGGGTACCGGCCGCAGGGGCAGCCACCATGGAGTTCCGCCAGGAGGAGTTTCGGAAGCTAGCGGGTCGCGCCCTCGGGAGGCTGCACCGGTGAGCGTGGTGGGGGTCCCGGGCGGGGAAGAGGGCGAGGGTCCGAGGAGAACGCTCATTCCCACCTGGGCACAGACCGATAGACGCACCGGCGATGATACTAGAGGATGAGGGGGCCGGGGGTCCACCCATCTGCCCAGTTTCTCCCTCTGCCTCCGACGGCGCTGCTCTCCCTGGTTTGATCTTGCTCATCATCTCATTTATGTCTCTTCACCTCTCCCCACCCCAGCTTCTAGCCTTTCCTCTGGGCCTGTGGGTTCCCCTCTCTTCAGCCTGTAGGTGCTGAAGCCTGTCCCACTGCTGGGACTCCGTTCGCTTGTCTCCTCCCAGTGTCCTTTCTCCCTGCACCTCTGCACCCCTGTCTCCAGGTCTCTGTTTCCTTTTACCTCCGAGTCTCTGTCCCCTCTCCAATCCTCTGGATTTTGTGCTCACCAGATCTCGATCAACGCCTCTCTCGGGGTCTCCGTCCCCTTCTCTAGGGTCTCCGACTCTTCCTTTTTGGGTCTCTGTCCTCTCTCTTTGGGTTTATCCCTCCACCCTGGGTCTCCATCCCTGTCTTTCTCGGTTTCCGTTACTCGGAGCGTTTAATCTGAAGCTAAAGCGGATTGGGGCCCATGGGTTCTTGTCCTTGAGGAGATTTAAGCTGGGAGGAAGAAACTAGGGGGTCCTGGATCTCTGGGGAGAAGGGAGTTCTAGGCCAAAGATTAGGCCTACCCAAGGATGTAAGCTAGAGCTAAGAGGGACTTCCAGGGAGATGACCCCAGTGACCTGGGTGTCCTCAGGGCAGTCCAGGACACCTCCCTCCAGTCTTTCACCCCCAACCCCAGCCTTGGCTGCAAGTCAGAGAAATTACTCATCTTCGAAGAGGCCTAAAAATATCCGGCCACAGCGCGGGCAGGGCAAAACCTGATCGGTCCCTGCGGCCATTCCCTCAGACCCTGTCCCCAGGGCCCACGGCCCCGACCTCAACTTTCATTGAGCCTTCGTCTATCTCGCTAGACCATGAAAGTCCCTCTCTAAGTCTAATGCTAGTCCCGCTTGCTGCAGATCACCTTCTAGCCCCGGCGATACCCCACCCTCTAGTAACAGGAGAGATGGAATTGAGGCTGGACAGAAGGGAGGGGCAGGAGGACGCCAGGGAGTTGGGGAGGTGGTGGGGAAGCTGAGACAACCTCGCCCCTGATTCTCCTGCTCTCCCAGCCCCTCCCCACCCTTTTTCTCGCCTCCTTTCACGAGTTTCTCAAAATACACCAGTGAGAAGTCAGGAGACAGAGAGAGACGTGATAATGCAGGAGGCTGGGGTGGGGGGCGGTGCGGGTGGGGTGTGTTCCTCAGGCCCCCTTCCTCAGTCTCTGCTTGTCATCTGTGTCTGGGTTTCTCGCGGTCTGTCTGTGCCCCACTGTCACCTCTCAAGGCTGCGTCCTGGGCCCCCAGAGACGGCAGACTCAGAGCACTCCCCCCCCCCCAGAACAGTCACCAAGGAGGCTGAGTGGACCAGAGCATTGCACCCTGATATACTGGGGTTCACAGTGATGGGTGGAGATGCTCTGTGTTGGACACAACACCCTGATTCCATTGAGCCCTCTAGACCACACTGGGGAAACTGAGGCTGGCTTTGAGAAGAGGAAGGAATGGGTGGATGAGCCAAAGGGCTGTCATTCAAACCCCGGACAGCCCGTCCCCATTCTGGGGCGGAGGCTGCAGGTTTTCCTCGAGATGAGCGATGCTCGAGTAGGTGGAGAACTCCCTCAGACCAGGAAACAGACGGTAAATGAGGCAACTTGGGACCAAGACATGGGGGAAGGGAGGTGGAGGAGCCAAAGTACCTCGTCTCCCAGGGCCAGGCCTTGGGCTCGGGCGAGGCTGGGCCCCAGGAAGTAACCAGGCCCCATCGCTCTTCTTGGTGGGTGACCTTGGCCATG